GTCAGATACTTCCCCAGATTTTTTCCAGGTGGGCAGCTGTATTAGTCTGTTGGCAGCAGAACAAAACTCAAAACCAGCATCTTAAAAGACCAACAAAATTCTCCAGAGTATAAGCATTAGTGAGTCAGTCAGTGAAGTTACGAAAGCTAATACTCTGGAAACTTTTGTTGGACTTTTAAAGAGTTGAATTTTATTTTATTTTTTAGCTTTTCAGATTGATAGGAAGGCTGTTGATGGATTCGAAGCACATTTTAATGCAAAGTGCTGTCAACAGAAAGAAGTGGGAAGCCTTCTAGCTTGAAACCAGAAATCAACTCTTGCTGAATCCAGGTCTCCTCTTTACATTAGCCAGGAAATGTGCTTGATGCCTTGCCGGGAGCTAATTTCAGTCCTAGGAGCTCTCATTGACTGAATGGCACCAAGACGGTACAGTCCTAATACAGCCATCAAAGTCACTTCAGATGTAAACTAGGACTGCCAAGTGCCCCCTGGCTAGATCCAGGGTGTGAAACTCTTGGAGATTTGGGGATGGAGTCTGGGGAAGACAGGGGCCTCAGTGGGTGAAATGCCATACAGTCCCACTCTGGAGCTGTGGTGGCTCAAGTGGTTAAGACGCGGAACTGCAGGCTGTAGAAGGTCGGTAGTTCAGCAGTTCGAGACCCGAGTGTGCCGCATGACGGAGTGAGCTCCCGTCTCTAGTTCCAGCTCCTGCCAACCTAGCAGTTCGAAAGCAAGAAATTGCAAGTAGATAAATAGGTACCACTTCAGTGGGAAGGTAACAGCGTTCCGTGCGCCTTGGTGTCTAGTCATGCCGGCCACATGACCACGGAAACGTCTTCGGACAACGCTGGGTCTTCGGCTTTGAAACGGAGATGAGCACCGCAACCTTAGAGTCGGATTCGACTGGCTTTCGAGCAAGGGAACCTTTACCTTTACCCACTCTCTACTACAGCATCCATTCTCTCCCAGGTAACTGGTCTCTGTAGTCTGGAGATAAGATGTAATTCTGGGGAAACGCCAGATCTCACCTGGAGGCTGGCATCTCTATAGCAAAATTGAGCTGGTTTTCATTCTATTATCCAATGCAAGGGATTTCGGCATCCAGAGGGGAAGAGGTTACTCTGCATCCACGAACAATGACAGCCGGTGGCGGTTTTCAGTAGAATACCAGAAGTCCACGTTTTGTACAGCCCTGATCTTTTCCTGTTTCTGTGTGCGGGCTGTGAAAGCTTTTCCAGGGCTGCCACCCACATGGCAAGGATATGCCGTTTGCCATCCACTCTTGCTGTGAATGCGGATTCTTCTACACAGGACTTTTCCAGGCACGTCACTTTGTCAGCTGTCAGTGCCCTGGCAAATTTCCTTGCTGTGCCGTTGAAGGGCATTTTGAGGGTTCTTAAAGAAAAATGCTACAGGCTGTACCAATTGTCTTGATTTTTTATTGGGCTGCCAGCTCCAGATTGGGAAATGCCTGGAGATTTTTTTTTTGGGGGGGGGGGGAGTCTTCCAAACCAGCTGTTTTTTCCAGGGGAACTTACCTCTTTTGCCTGGAGATCAGTCGTAATCCCAGGAGATCTCCAGCCACCACCTGGAGGCTGGCACCCCACCAATGTTCACTGTGCAAAAATGACTCTAGTCCAATTACAGTCCACAAATTTGCTTCTTCTTTTTTTTTGTTTCTTTGTCATGCAGTGCTGCCGCTGCTTCCAACAACGGCCATGTGACCACAGATTTCCCGGGTTAAACAATCTGTTTCCCTCAGTGCTTCGTCAGGTTGCTTTACACTTGGAGCTGTTTTACAAACGAGTTACAATATAGTTGCATGACGTAAAATGAAGAAACAGAAAGAAGAAGCAAAATCGTGGACTGTAATTGTACTAGAATCATTTTTGCACAGTGAACATTGGTGGGGTGCAACCTTGGCTGAGTCACTGTGGTTCATTTGTGGCTGGAACCACCTGGGGGGTGGCAACCCAGGAAGCCCGTTGATGGCGAAGTGGAGAAAATGGCGGCTGCAAGAGGTGGGAGAAGCCTAGGCCTCTTCCCAAAGTTGTTGAACTGGCCTCTACCTAGAAGTTATTAACCAATAAAGAAGCTTCTTACCGTCTCCGGTGCAAAGTCCCGTCCAATCAAAGATTGAGAGTGATTAGAACTTGGGTGAGGGGTCCTTTAGAGTTGGGTTCTATGGAATCAGGCAATACAAATGTCTTACCTAAGCTTGCTTTTAAGGTGGAGGTGATGCGGGTCTCACTGAGGACACAAGACGACAGAGGCCTCCATGGGATACATGTGGCTTGCCACAGACACTTTGAAAAGAGCTGTTTGGCATGTCATGGATGCCACCAATCAAAATGGGAGTCCTCAGCTTGCTAAAATTTGAAAACGCAGCTGCAAATCAAATCAATATGGGTGTCACACAGTGGCTTAGCTTTCATTCTTTGTGCGTACAGGTTTTTAACAAATCCATTAAAATAACAAAAATACCCAAGACTAACCGACCTACTGTGCATGATTGTTGTACATTAGGCTTATCAGGTACCTGCCTGTCGTGTGTGAACACCTGTCCCCCTGCCCTTGATGCTCTGTGCTCATTCAAGTGAGCAGTGGGAGAAACTCTGGAGGGGAAGAAACAGTGCTGCCTTTACCACACAGACTGGGGAAATTCCTAGAGTACCACAGGGGCTGTGATGTCACTTCCAGAAGGACATCCGGAAATGATGTCACTGTGTCCATGATGCTACTTCTTCCCCGGCTCCACCCCCGAAAAGCTCCTGAGATTCATGGGCCCAGGTCTAGCGTGACTAGGGTATATTTATACATGGAAGTGGAGGGAGTAGAGACTTGTTAGCATATTTTTTGTGCAAAAGACCACACATGTGTTAAACTTGTGGTTTTCATACTGTGTGCTGAAAACAAAAAAAACCTCTGGGGTTTCTTAGAAGCTTATCTGGGCTTCCTCAATGAGAGAAACAGAAATAGCAGATACACTTCCCTGAAAGGCAGTCCGCATACCACTGCCTGTCTTCTGAAGAATCTGAAGAAGTGAGCAGTGACTCACAAAAGCTCATAACCCTGCCACATATTTGGTTAGTCTTTAAGGAGCTCCTGTACTCTTGCTCTTTTCTACTGCTACAGGCAGACTCACACAGCTACCCATCTTGATCTAAATTCTGCAATGTGCAGCTACAAGTGAATCAACGGGCATATTTGCACACTCTGAGTTCAAGGTGGGCAACGGCAAGCCCAACATAAACCGAGGCCTGAATTTAAGCAAAGCTTGTTGAAAATTTCAAGCACAAATTCTTCTGAGATACAACTTCAGTGAAACTTTAAAATAGGATCACCAGGACTGATGCATGCTGCACTAGGGTACCTGTACTTTGGTTTGCCAGCTCCAGGTTGGGAAATTCCTGGAGATTTGAGGGTGGAGCCTGAAGAGGGTAAGGTCTGGGGAAACGAGGGAACTCAGCAGGGCATAATGCCACAGAGTCCAAGGGGTCCCCAACGGGGTGCCCATGGGCGCCACAGTTCCTACTATCACTGTTCCCAGTGGGGCTTTTGCCCAGCAGGGCTTCTGATTGGCTGTGTGGATTTAAAGGCATCATGTTAAACGGATCTTCTGCCTGAAAAGTTGAAGAGTTACTATTAGAGCTATGCATAACTTCACTCCCTGACATTTTGTGGTTGGCTCTTGTGGCAGCCATTTTGGGACTGTACCCACTGCCATGTCAGAATCCCAAAGGTGCCCACGGGCTGGGAAAAGGTGGGGGGGGACCCCTGCCATTGTCCAGCCTCCACAGCAGTCATTTTCTCCAGGGGAACTGATCGCTCTTGCCTGGAGATCCGTTGTAATTCCAGGGAATCTCCAGGCCCCACCTGGAGGTTGCTAGCCTTACCTGCACTGCAGACTGATGGCTGTCAACAAGTCTGGAGAGAAAAAATGCCCTGTCCTTTTAACAGAGGCGTCATGGAAGTGACACTCAAGTGGTTAAGACGCTGAACTGCAGGCTGTGGAAGGTCAGTAGTTCAGCAGTTCGAGACCCGGGTGCTGCATGATGGAGTGAGCTCCCGTCTCTAGTTCCAGCTCCTGCCAACCGAGCAGTTCGAAAGCAAGAAATTGCAAGTAGATAAATAGCTACCACTTCGGTGGGAAGGTAACAGCGTTCCATGCGCCTTGGTGTCTAGTCATGCCGGCCACATGACCACGGAAACGTCTTCGGACAGCGCTGGCTCTTCGGCTTGGAAACGGAGATGAGCACCGCAACCCTAGAGTCGGATTCGACTGGCTTTCGAGCAAGGGA